GGGCGCGAGCCGTGCCAGGTGCAGGGTCTGCTAGCTGGGTGCTGGCAGGCTTGCACCTGGCACGAGCACCGTAGCCAGCCCGTGACCCTTTAAGGGGTCCGGGGCCGGGAGGGGGGCAATAGAGTTTCCCTGGTGTTGGCCAGAGTGGGGAGGGCTAGCCTCCCACTAGTTTGAATTAAGGGACTACACACCCCTTAATTCGAACTAGTAAGTTCGAATTAGGCTTAGTCCTCGTAGAATGAGGTTTACCTAGTTCGAACTAAGCGCTTGTGTAGCGCCTATCAAAGTTAATTCGAACTAACGTCCGTTAGTTCGAATTAACTTTGTAGTGTAGACATACCCTTATTGCCCTTATATAAATCCATAGTCCGCCTGCATCTGTAATACTGCATACAGATCTGGTCTCCTCTTCTAAAAAAAGATATACTGGCATTAGAAAAGGTTCAGAGAAGGGCAACTAAAATGGTGAGGGGTTTGGAACGGGTCCCATATAAGGAGAGACTGGGACTTTTCAGCTTGGAAAAGAGGAGACTAAGGGGGGATATGATAGAGGTCTATAAAATCATAAGTGGTGTGGAGAAAGTGAATAAAGAAAAGTTATTTACTTGTTCCCATAATAAAAGAACTAGGGGTCACCAAATGAAACTAATGGGCAGCAGGTTTAAAACAAATAAAAGGAAGCTCTTCTTCACACAGCACATAGTCCATCTGCGGAACTCCGTGACTGAGGAGGTTGTGAAGGGTAGGACTACAACAGGGTTTAAAAGAGAACTAGATAAATTCATGGAGGTTAAATCCATAAATGGCTATTAGCCCGTATGGGTAAGGAACGGTGTCCTTAGCCTCTGTTTGTCAGATGGTGGAGATAGATGGCAGGAGAGAGATTGCTTTATCATTACCTGTTCAATTCACTCCCTTTGGGGCACCTGGCATTGGCCACTGTTGGCAGACATGGTATTGGGCTGGATGGACCTTTGGTCTGACCCAGTATGGCCGTCCTTATGTTCTTAGTAAATACAATTCCTTGAAGGTATTTCCTTTGCATAGTCACACTGCTGCAAATTGCACCATGACGCTGAGAATTTATAGAATTTTCAAATGTTTTACCCATTAGGTAAATTTTGAACCCCAACCTTTTATTGCTGTCTTACAAAAAAATCCTGCTTCTGCCCTCTTCACTCAAACTTCTCTCCAAGTCTCTAGCGAGTTGGCTAAGGCATTAGAACCCTTACTCTTCACCATTCCGGAAATGGAAGCTGCCACACACTACATTTTGCACTTAAATATTGGTAGCTCCAGCTGTTAGGGTATCATCTCTCCTTCTGAATTATACTGTGGCCAGTCCTCTCAGTATAGTACAGACAGTCTCCACATGCTGGCCACAACACTCTGGAAATGTAGGTCATGGGAGTCTGAGGAGAGAAGTACAAACTGTATCCTTAACTTGTTCATACCTTTTCTTCCATATCTGTTTTTGTGATCAGCACCTCTTCAGCATATCCCACTTCCTTCTCCCGTTTCAGACCCCGTCCTTCCTTATCATACACTTTCCAGATAAGCAGACAGCCATCCTCTGAGATGGTCAGCAGAAATTGGTCATCACTTGTTATGGACATCTAAGGAGGGATGAGACAGCAGAATTAAAAGTAGAAAAGAGATAAGGTGGGAGGGAGATACAGGTTATGTCTACACTAGATATTTTCCCTCCTAATAATAATATCCTATCATTATTACTATCAGTGAAGTAGTGGTGAGAATGTTAGTGTTGCACAGCCACCAACATCTTAACAACCTAGTAGCTAGAACACTTGTTGCCTTGTCTATATTAGCACTCCTATCACCAGTAGAGCTGTATAAATATTACTACAATGGCAGGAAAGGAAGATGTGCCATTCTCATTGCCCTTTTCAAAGGAAGGAAGGTGACTTAATTAGGTTTTACTAAAAGCTAAACAAATATCCATTAGGGATGCTCAGAAAAGATTTTAAAATTCCCTATGAATTTCTTTTTATTTTCTTCACCCTAGCCAAACCTAAATAGAAGACTCTTCCTCAGAGAGGACGTACCATATGCCAAGTGAGGAATTTTTTGTTGAGCCATATTTGAGCACAATTCCTTTTTCTTTTATATGCTAGGAATGGTTTTTTTTTGTCTTCCATAACTCAGATAGACGGTGAATAGATTCTCTTAAAATTTGCTGAAATAACCCACCAAAGGGAACAGATAGTTTTGTCCCCAGAGCAGAATTTTTGAGGCACGTACATGCATGTGACAGGATTATAATGGAACTCAGTACAGTTTTTAGTATAAAGGCAAGGTGCACCTTTGATCCTCTTTTCAGTCTCTTTCTTGGGCACCCTCCCAGAGTCATCAGAATAGTCACTCTAGGTCAGTCCAAAGGTCTATCTAGCCCAGTATCCTGTCTTCTGACAGTGCCCAGTGCCAGGTGCCTCAGAGGGAATGAACAGAACAGGGAATGATCAAGTGATCCATCCTGTCACCCATTCCCAGCCTCTGGCTAGAGACACTAACTGTGCCCTGGCTAACTGCATTGATTAGAAGCTTTGTGGCTCTCTCAGGATTGAACACCAAAGATACACACTTTTGGACTGGCTCAATGCGCTACAATGCCATTTGTTTACCAACTAACTTTACCTCCAGCAGGTCCAAGTAGTGTTGGCCCCTGCCATGATTTTCTCTTGGAGAGCTGTGATCCAAACAGGTAAAAACAGTGCCAGAAAACAGCATGTTCAAAATAAAATATAATTAACATATGCAAAGGAACATCACAAGCAGATAAAGTAGATTAAAATAACAAAAGTCTGCATATGCTTTGTCATATTTAAACTTCACTTTTCCCTGGCAGTTTAACTTGGTCCTGTTTAGGCCAGGTAAGTCCAATGCATTGTGGCTACATCAAGCAGGATGTCTCACGCCACAGCTGCCATGCTGCCCGCCTGACAGCCTAACCTCTCCAGTCAGTGAATCTTCCCTCTCAGCTCATGGCCTGCCTTTTGTTCCTTCCAAAGTTTCCTTGCTCAAGATTTCAAAATTCCTTGTCGTGATCTTGTCCCTGGTCCAAAGTGGGGCTGCAGGACTTAACCCTTAACTGCCTTTCAGTCAACCACACCTTAACCAACAAAACCAAACTGACATAACATTCACAATACAAATAATTATCGTATTTTTCATATGCAATATGTTACCTTAACACTAGCAGATGATATAAAATAGAAGAAAATGGAGATAATCAGCAGAGGAATCCAAATGACTCAAATATTGGTGGAAAATCAAAAATAAATTCCTTACCTTCGTAATAGGGCCAGCATGAGCCTGATATTCATTGAACTCCTTGTGCACAGGGAGTGGGTACTTCATAGATCGGATGGTCCCCATTGAAGTGCCTGTGAATACCATGCGCCCAGAATGAGACACAACTATTGCGGTATATGTAACATCAAAAGAAGGCACTTCACGCAGGATCTAAACAAAAGTAAAACCAAAACAGTACTGAATAAGCTCTCTAATACTGCATAAGTCACATAGTGTAGGACCAGCTGTCATACCATTGCACGTACAGAAAAGAATAACAAAACAGTCAGAAAAATCTGCCTAGGGGAACAGAACTATGAACAATAATTAGCTTTAGGGTTTATAAATAGAGGTTTATAAAATCTTCAAAAGTGTCTAAGTAACTTCAGCTCTTAAGTAACTTTTGAAAATGAGGGCTTTAGTATTTTTGAAAATTTTAAGCACTTGTCAACACATTGAATTGCTTCTGTAAAGAAAAGCTATGGACAAGGGAAACTGCAATAGAGATAGATTTGATTTTTAGTAAAGCTTTTGGTAATATCTCTCAAAATTAATTTGTCACATGGATTGAAAATTTGCTGGAAGAATCATAAATTGAAACGAAGCCTCAATAAATGCTTAGGTATCATGGTGAAGGGCACATTATAAGAACATAGATAACATAACATTTCACATGGTAGGATGTGTCAGTGGATCCATATGAAAATAAGGTTTTTTCCTATTTGTCTAAACTGGAAAATGAGTAGTAGGGAGAGGAAAGCAATTGTGTTTCCCTGGGTAATGACCTTCCTCTAAGCTGCCTGCTAGGACCTGGTATAGTCACGGGTATTTATGTTAATTGACTTACTGAAGAATCCGAAATTTCCTTGAGTGTTTGGTCAGATCCAACAGCAAAGATGATTTTGGCATCTGGAGACATGGCAACACTGCTGTAGCTACAGGTCTTGAGCACACACTCAGTATCCCTTTTACCCGTCAACAAGCTCCACTCGTACACTGCACCATCTGTGCCACAGGAGATCAACTTATTGTCATCTCCACTCCATATGACTGAGCGGACCTGGTAAGAATGGGAACACACCGATCAGACCCACACTCAGTGACTCTTTGAGCTGTGGAAAAGAGCTTGAATCTTGTTCAATCTGACCATTTTATTTGGTGAATCCATTCCAGACATGGTTCTATTTATAGTAATCCCTGCTTTATATGGTTTTACAGGCTTCTAATATAGCTTTTGGTCCTTTTTAATAACCAAATTCTTTGTAATTAAACTTGTCCTTTTTTTGTATGTTTTGGTTTGTTATTGGGTTTTTGTTTTTTGCTTTAGAAAACATCTAAAGAATTACTTCTTATAGAATTAATCATCTGATAGAAAATGTTAAAATACTAATCAGATCAGTGAGCAAAAAGCGCGTCCTAAAACATATCTTCATGTTCTTTCACCTATTACTCCATTACCATTACAACTGCTATCTGCAGTATAATCTGAGACTATTTAGATACACTATACAAGCTGGCTACCAAAGATTGACCTCCTACCTAGTGAGAAGCAAACACCATATGAGTGCACTGAAAATTGTGGTGGGATAGCTACCCCCACACAGGCAGAAAAAGGGTTAAAACTTCCTTGGAGAGGCTGCACAGAACGCGGCCAATTAGAAAAGGGTTTACTGGAGCAGCCAGTCAGGGCCAGGTTGGCCCATAGAAGAAAGCCTGTTGAGCAAAGCAGTCAGTCTCTCCCCGGAGTGATGAGTCACTCCTCGTTTCAAAGATACTTACACTGTAGCAATGAGCTACAGAAATATTAGAATAAACAGTAATATTAAAACAGGTTACTGACCTTTAGTAAATGTTTTTGAGATGTATTGCCCATGTCCATTCCACATTAGGGCATGTAGCAGACACACACCTATTACATGAGATTTTTCTCTCAGTGGTATCCACTAAGGATGTTAAGGACTAGTTGACCCCCTCCTCTCACTGCCTCTATCAGATAGAGGCAGCAAAGAAGGGGGGGCAGGAAGAGAGGGAGAGGGCACTTCAAAGTGGTGGCACTGCACAGAGCCCGTACCTGGCTCCCTGTGGCATGTCCATGGAACCTGGAGTCAGCTGGGGAGTCCCCAGCTGATCCCAGGCTCCATACAGCACTGCCACTTTGAAATGTCAGCTGATCCTGGGCTCCAGCATGGCATTTCAAAGCGTGCAGAGCCTGGGGTGAGCTGGGGAGTCTCAAAGTGGCAGTGCAGCATGGAGCTTGGGATCAGCAGGAGACTCAGAGTACATTTCAAAGCTGGCACACCACGTGCAGCTTGGAACCTGTGGGAAGTCCCGCTGACTTGGGGTTCCACATGGGTGCATCCAGTTTGAAATGCCACGCAGAGCATAAGCATAAGCACCCTCGTGGACTTCCTGCTGGCCCCAGCTGCATGCGGAGTTCTGCATTCTTCCTATGAAATGTACATAAGCCCCAGAGGGGGCTCTTGTATATTTCAAAGGAGGAATGCAGAAGTGCCTATCAACTACTCGAATAGTCAATGGAAATTCCATCGACTACACAACTAGTAAATTACTCGTTAGTTAACATCCTTAGTATCCACTGGGCTAGATTTAGCATTCTCTAGTGCAGCATACACAAGCTCAGCCATGCACTCTCTCAGTTCCTTCTTGCCAGTCTACTCTGAAAGAGGGACAGAAAGGTGTGTTCTTTCTTACTATAGGAGCCTCTAACTTCTACTAGGAGGATCCATTGTGCTACAATCTAGTCTAGAGACTACAACTCCTATGAGTCCTTGAGAAAAAGGAGGGAACTGTGGCTTATTCCAGGCAGGGAGAGAGAGAGTGAGGGTTGTGAGGCTTCATTTTGGGGAATTATAGAATCATAGAAAATACTAGGACTGCAAGGGACCTCGAGAGGTCATCGAGTCCAGTCCCCTGCCCCTACGGCAGGACCAAATACTGTCTAGAAGACAATCCCCCATAGACATTTATCTAATCTACACTTAAATATCTCCAGAGATGGGGATTCCACAACCTCCCTGGGCAATTTATTCCAGTGTTTGACTACCCTGACAGTTAGGAACTTTTTCCTAATGTCCAACCCAAACCTCCCTTGCTGCAGTTTAAGCCCATTGCTTCTTGTTCTATCCTCAGAGGCCAAGATGTATAAGTTTTTGCCCTCCTCCTCATGACACCCTTTTAGATACCTGAAAACAGCTATCATGTCCCCCCTCAATATTCTCTTTTCTAAACTAAACAAACCCAATTCTTTCAGCCTTCCTTCATAGGTCATGTTTTCTAGACTTTTAATCATTCTTATTGCTCTTCTCTGGACCCTCTCCAATTTCTCCACATCTTTCCTGAAATGCAGGTGCCCAGAACTGTATACAATACTCCAACTAAGGCCTAACCAGTGCAGAGTAGAGTAGAAGAATGACTTCTCATGTCTTGCTCACAACACACCTGTTAATGCATCCCAGAATCAGGTTTGCTTTTTTTTGCAACAGCATCACACTGCTGACTCATATTCAGCTTGTGGTCCACTATAACCCCTAGATCCCTTTCTGCCGTACTCTTTCCTAGACAGTCGCTTCCCATTCTGTATGTGTGAAACTGATTTTTTCTTCCTAAGTGGAGCACTTTGCATTTGTCTTTATTAAACTTCATCCTGTTTACCTCAGAAAGGAGCCAGATTGCTCGTGTGGAGCCTTTTCCAGGCCAGGAGTGGTTGTGTTAGAGCTAAATCCTGTTACTGAGAGCCTGCTGGGGGTTGGACCTAGCAGGCTGCTTCAGGGGCTATTGGTGATTGTCCCTAGAGGGGAGAGACCCTGGTTGTGCCTGTGGCTGAGAAGGGCCTACCTAGAAGGTACTGTGGCTTTTTGGGAAAGTGCTCCCTGGGACAGAGCACAGAAGACAAACTGACTCTGGGTCCAAGAGACGTAGAGTGATCTGCCCAATGAACCAGAGCTGCTGGCATCTGGTGGGGCCTGCTCCAGTGGCAGAGGGATTTTTGCCAGCCTGGACTGACACACAACCTGCCCAGTGCTGTCTCTACTTCAGCTGCAGATCTTCAAGCATACTCACGCAAATGTCTGGGACTCTGAATCCAGAGGAGTGCACACTCTGGGGTGGGATAAATGGTGGCAGTGTAAATGCCAGATAGATAAGTTTCCTTTATTTCTGTGTACTTTGTTAATTGATTTTATTCACTTTTAGTCTGTTAAACCCTGCTTATTTAAGTTGTTAAGGAATGGTGTGTTAATTCTAATTTAATCAATTAGATGTATATTATTTATAATTGTCATGTTGAGGTTTGATCGAGATTATTACTGGAATAATTTTATTCCTAGAGTCTCCCAAGGCACACCATTAAGTGTGTACAGGGCCAACCAGGTAGAGGCACTGCCACTGTATATTCCTTTAAGAGCAAGGGACTAGAGCAAGGGATTACAGCAAGGGGGTGGATAGGGGATCCCCAACTATGCAACATCACCACTGGGATATTCAGGACCTCCTTTTATGTTAAAAACATTAGGCATCCAGACACACAGGTGAGCGTAGCCTGCTCCCCAGTAACCCAGGGAAGAAAGAGGGGTTTACAGATGGAAAGGACCAAGCAACATATCTTAAAGAACAAGAGCCACGGAAAGTTAGTAATCATTTTTTCTTTGAGTTCTTGCTCATGTCCATGTCACATCAGGTGACTCACAGGCAGTACCTCAAAAGGTGGGCTCAGAGTTCATGGAGGTTAAGTCCATAAATGGCTATTAGCCAGGATGGGTAAGGAATGGTGTCCCTAGCCTCTGTTTGTCAGAGGGTGGAGAAGGATGGCAGGAGAGAGATCGCTTGATTATTACCTGTTCGATTCACTCCCGCTGGGACACCTGGCATTGGCCACTGTCGGCAGACAGGGTACTGGGCTGGATGGACCTTTGGTCTGACCCAGTATGGCCAATCTTATGTTCTTATGCTTTTATGAATACATCACTGCTCTTCTGAACCTAGTACTGTCTTGTGCCTGTTGGATAATGGCATTGTGGGATGCAAAGGGATGCTCCAGTGACCAAACTGTGCAAGAAATGTTGCTGAGGAGGTGTGAGCTCTCATGCAGTGAGTGGTTAGGATGATCAGAAATGTGACATTTGCCTGCTCACAGCAAGCCCAATACAGGCAATTATCTGGGACAAGATCTTCTGAGAAGATACTGGAAACTGTTCCATCCTTTCTGCTACAAAGAGCCAAGTAGATTTGTGAAATAATAGAATTTCATCTAAGCAACTCTGCATTTCAAGAAAGATGTGGATAAATAAGAGAAAGTCCAGAGAAGAGCAACAAGAATGATTAAAGGTCTAGAGAATATGACCTATGAAGGAAGACTGAAAGAATTGGGCTTGTTTAGTTTGGAAAGGAGAAGACTGGGAGGGGACATAATAGCAGTTTTCAGGTATCTAAAAGAGTGTTACAAGGGGAAGGAAGAACAATTGTTCTCCTTAGCCTCTGAGGAAAGGACAAGAAGCAATGGGCTTAAACTGCAGCAAAAGAGGTTTAGGTTGGACATTAGGAAAAACTTGCTGACTGTCAGGATGGCTAAACACTGGAATAAGTTGCGTAGGGAAGTTGTGGAATCTCCATATCTAGAGATAGTTAAGAGCAGGCCAGATAGACATCTATCAGGGATGGTCTAGACGGTACTGGGTCCTGCCATGAGGGCAGGGGACTGGACTCGATGTCCTCTCGAGGTCCCTTCCAGTTCTAGTGTTCTATGATTCTATAAATCCGACAGCATGTTGAACCAGTTTGATGTGACTACATTAGGGCTACAAGAATAACTCTTACTTTGTCCTGTTTGGTTTTCAGGAGAGCCTTGCAAACCAGAGGGACTGGAGGAAAAAGTAGAGTAACAGTCATGTCCAAGGGAGCAGGAAGTCATAGGAAACGGAGCCCAGCTTGTTCCCTCAGTGAGAAACACTGATGGCACTTTCTGTTCTGCTTGTTCGTGGGGAGAGCCCCACCTGGGGAGATCCCCATCTTTTGAAGATGAAGCTGGTGGCTTCTGGTGAAGTG